GATATGTGTAGTTCCTATGTACGGGCCCATGAAAGTTTTTTGAGGGGAAGTGGTTAACTCAGAAACCTAAAAAGCTAGAAGGCTGAAATTTTAAGAGGATTTCCCTGGTCCACGTCAGACCTAGTGACTTCAAGCTCTGCCGCTAGTTATGCGTGTTTCTTACGTACGGGCCCATGAAAAGTTTTGGCGGGTAAGTTGCTAACTCGGGAGCCAGAAGAGGCTGAAAATTTAAGGGGATGTTTTCAGACGATCCTGGCGGCTGGTCTCAGTTCTCTTAGCTAGAAGATCTGCCGTAAAAACAGTGCCGTTAACGACAAAAACTTGCGGAGAACTGTGCAAAAAACGCATCTTCGCATCGGCAGTCGGTGCGCTGACCATTTATTAGCTTTTTTGTCTGCCTCATCCAGTTACTGCAGCAAGCAATACAAGAAAATGTGCTGGCTTATACATCACTGGAATTTGTTGTTATTAAACTTAGAATTACGCAGCTGATTTCGCACAGAAGATGCTAAATTACGGTGAGTAGAGATGAATTTGAGTGTAAGACGTCCAACTGATGTTCTGGTTTACTGGAGAAGACATCGTTTTTTTCAGCTTTGGAACTCCAAATACCATTTGCATTTTTTTCGCTTCTACACACAGTACCGTTTTTCAGCCCCAAGTATCCATGCATCGAATTTGAGCGTTCCAGTGCTGTATGCGGTTCCGGCGAAACATCGCTTATCTATCGTCAAGTTACTTACCGCGAACAAATGAACACCGTCAGTTTTCAGTTGCTTGTTGCTCCAAAATCCTTTTGTATTTAAGAACTTCATCTGAGTTAAAAAGAATTTGCAGATAACAAGTTATATCGACGGTTCTGGAATATACGGGAGCACGGAGGAAGAAGCACATGAACTCCGCGATCTCAATACGGATCAAGGCTTGCTAAGGTACCAGTTCTAGGTGACATTTTGAAAATATTTAGTAATTGCGCTTCGGAAGTTTGACCACTGTCGCTTTATCATACTACATTACTGTATCATCAGCTCAGTTAACGGCCTTCTTATCGCTGTCTTAGTGGAAGCCGCAAAGCTAAATAGTCGACCTGTTCATGATTGTGACGCTTGTTTTCCTACTGCTTCTTCCGGAATGAAATTCGATTACATCGCTTCCTCCCCACAAAGAAACCAGCAGACTGGAAATTTTGAAGGATTATTTGTCCAAATAATTTGAAGTGAAATTATCTCCAGAGCCAATTGTATTCACACCTACGATACCAGATTCTTGAAAACAGAATTTCAATCTTTCTGATAATATGCGCTATATACTAGTTCACTCACTGGTTGGGAATCTGTAACAGCGTACCATTGTACAAAACCGTGCCATTCTTCTGGCGCACGTCGTTATTTATTTATGGAAAGCTCAAAGACAGCTCTAGTTTAATTCACTTTTACGAACAGATATGATATAGTATCAGCAGCGAACAAACCATATTTGCCATTTGAACGTGACTCGCCAGTTGACTGCCGAAGGAACTGGACGCTGAATCATCCCGTACGGTGTTTTCTGGCTGGAGACTTTAGGGCCAATGAACAGGTCAGTATCATTGATGTCCAGGATTCATTTCTGTTATGGTCCTCAGATCTTAAAGTTGTTGCAGTTAGTAGATGGAATAGAAAAGCTTTTAGCCTAAAAAACAAGTGGTACAGTTACTAGCTCATCGTCGCTTATGGATTTTTCAAACCCAATGTTGATACCCCATTTTACTGATTTTACTGTAACTGCTGATTTTCACTCTCGAATGCCCTCTTCTTTGTTTGTTCTGAAATTGATGTGCATCGAATGATACAAAAAGTTTTCACTTGCGATACACCTCAACTTTCCATTTTTACTTGTTGACGATTGTTCCTTATAGCTTGGATTGATGACTATGCACACAGTTTTCATGAGAGAGCATAATCGATTGGCCAGAGAACTCGGCAGGCTAAATCCCGGTCTGGATGGCGAAACTATATTCCAGGAAGCTCGTAAAATTCTCGGCGCAGAGCTACAATATATTACATTCAATGACTGGTTACCGAAAGTTCTTGGAGAAGTTTCTTTTTGTTTCAATTTTTTCATACTTTTTCATGTGTAATACGAAAAATGTGAATGCGCGGCGCAATAGTGCTTTCGGTGAATAATCCCACTTTCCCTTCCCTGCCTCTACCCCTTCACCTCCCACCGGGCAGTCATTGCAACTCCCCTCCCAGTTTGGGCGAGCCGAGTTTTAGTAGTTGCCAAAAAAAGACCAATATGAGTATATAAGTGCACATATTGAACTGCAAAGTAATGAATGCTTTTTTTAATTTGCGATCTTAGCGTCTCACAAAGCCATGTAAAGACATATGATTGGGCCGGCAATCCCGGTGCAGATAGCTCTTTTGAATTCAAAGGGATGAAGAAAATGTCATTATTGTTTAAAAAACTATGAATAAGAAAATAATGTTTAGTAATACGGTGCGACAAATGTTATCTGAAAATTTATTGAAGACAAATCAACTTCGACAAAGCCCAATAAAGGGAACAAACTGTTCATCCTATTTAGTTTCGACAATAGAAAATATTTCCAAGCACAGCGTTTTGAATAGTTTCACTATGTGGGCTACCCCATATGTCATTTTAGGCTCAATTTGATGAGCTTATTGGTCCATATCGGGGCTATCAACCTCTGCTGGATGCCAGTGTCTCGAATGCTTTTGCAACAGCGGCTTTCCGATTTGGACATACTCTTGTTAATCCAATTTTGTATAGGTACAGCTGCTTTTGATATCCATGAATGCAAAGGGCAAAGGAGCAAGCCAAAGTAATGTGGTGCTTTTTTCTGATATTGCTAGACAGCGACCGTTTTTAATTAAGAAATCACAAGCCTCAGTGATTAGGGGACGTGGACTGTACCAGATGCCCACATGCTTGCTGTGCCGCGATCAAACTGGGCTCATATGCTCAAGAACTTGAAAGAACTTAAAGCTTTGTCATCTCAATTTAAATGAAAACGATTTTGTTCACCTAACAAACACCATCACATTGGATTTTAGGACGTACGGATGTGAAATACTGCCATTAATACAGCGCACGAGCGGAAACGACTGCTCTTCCGTAGTGGACTGGCTGCTT